CGGACAATTTGAGAGTTTATTTGTTTCAGCATCTGTTATCATTTTATCCACATAAGAGGCTGCTGTTTCAGATCAGCAACACCACAGCTGCTCTGTGAGACAGTCAGTAGTAAAGGCACGCATTCTCTAAACAATTACTTATTCAACCTTTTACTTTCCACACACACACACACACACACACACACACACACACACACACACACACACACAGACAGAAAGCGACAATAACAGGAAGAGAGAGTAAATGAATAAAAGTGAAAGGTACAGAGAGGTACTAGAAACAACAGAGCAAAGAAAGAAAGATGAAGAGAAAATATGTAGAGGAGAGATGAGATTAGCTCAACTCACTGGTAAGGCATGCTAGATATGCAGTGTGTGTGTGTGTGTGTGTGTGTGTGTGTGTGTGTGTGAATAACTGCCGAAGCTGCTTCTTTACTAGAAAGCGAGCTGTGCTGCCATTGAACAAACAACCTTTGAATTGTTCCTGAATTTATTGGATATACAGTATATACATTTTAAAATCCTATTTCCTTTTAAAATAAGATAGTCTATCCATCTATCTATCTATCTATCTATCTATCTATTTATCTGAATGAGAATGCAAAGCATCTTAATGTTTTTGTAGTTTAACCAGTTAGAAACAGTTGTTAAGCAGTTGTTAACTCCAGCCGTGTGGATTTATGTTACACAACAATAAGCAGGCTGCCTCTTTTGGTATCAAGCAACTCCCAAATGAATGAATATGCTGTCTAACTATTTACAAATAATGTTGAGTGGTTTCTGTGAAACATGCAAATGTATAAACAACATCTCAGATTTTCTGCTTTGAATTTGTAAAAAGAAGTGTTACCAAGATAGTCATCCAAATAAATAAATAGAAGACACAAATATATCGTATTAGGCCTGCAACGATGAATTGATTAGTCGATTAATCAGTTTTAGTGATTTGTTTTTAAAGAAAAATAGTTCAAAATGTGTGATGGACCAAAGTAACACATGAGATGACTTTCTGTCCAGCAGACAGCTGAATCCTGAATATTAACTTTAGGAAATGGCTCAGTGTGTAAACGGTGATGTTTTATTAAATCTACAACATGTCAGCCTCTAAAAACAGCCAGCATCGATCCCAGACGAGCTAAAAGACACTTTTTAGTCTTTCTTAAAACTTTCTTTTTCATTTAAGTTAAAAATCAAAAGTGAAGGACTCACATAACGGCGGAGCTTCTTCTCCGGTGGGGACTTTCTCAGCCAGCCTTCACACACCACCTCCCCTGCTCCGCTCATCCTGCAGCCAGCGACTTCCAATCGATCAACCCGGCCTCCCAATCAGCTGACAGACTTCCAGTAAATCAATCAGGAGTCCCAGCCAGTCAATCAGACCCGACCAATCAGGTGTCAGCTCAGCAAGACTTTCCAAACAGATCGCACATCAACATGGTCCGATTATCTTTAAATCAGCGAGATCACACTCCCCGAATCAGTTGAAGGGGCTTTAAATCAGCTGATTTTGCTGTAATCACTACACTTGGTGGACTCAGTTAACATCCACGCGTGAAAAAAAGGGAGCTGCTCCTCCGTCCACGGCTGAGTCACACCTCCTTCTGAGAGGGTTTCTACTTCCCAGCAGTCCCTCTTCCCTCCCTCCTCTCCCCCCTCTCTCTCTCTGATTGTGGGACAACCGAACACAATGCCTCTGCTCGGACATTCCTTCTCTCCTCTCCTCCCCCTTTCCTCCTCCTCCTCCTCCTCCTCCTCCTCCTCCTCCTCTTCCTCCTCCCCTTCTGCTGCTGCTGCTCAGGATAACAGGAAACTCCCCCCTGTGGCTATTATCGTGTATGTGTGCTGGTCGAAGAAGTACTCAGATATTTGTAGCAGTACGACTGTACAGTGTATACTCACATGTTACAAGTAGAAGTACAGCATTCAGAATTGTTCAGAAGTACTCATGCATAATGGTTCATTATTGATGGTCACTTTATTGCTGAGCTGGTAAAGGTGGAGCTGATTTGTAAACACAACAATGTGATGACAAGAAAACACTTGGACAAAAGGAAAAATGAAACCAAATAAATGATTAATAGGATCCTTTCAGTTATTCAAATAATGAGGTTGACAGCACGAGTACATTTAAAAAAGGGAAATATACAGACAGGTAGAGTGTATTTAATATTTGATATGGTCCCAATCTTTTCCCATTTCATGTGTTATGCTATGGTGCTGATTTTTCACTACATATATCCGACAGCCGTATAGTTTTAGATTCTTCTTATTATTATTGTAACATATCAGTAATAATACATTATAATTAATTTGTTGGTTGTGTTATGAAATCTCAATCTGCAGACTAACTAGGTGAATTAAAATGTACATTTGCCTCAGAATAGGAGTAGAAGTATAAAGTAGCAGAAAATAGGAATACTAAAGTACCACAAAATTATACCAAAGAACAGTAATTCAATAAATGTACTTAGTTACTTCCCACCCGTGTGTACGAGAGAGAGAGAGAGAGAGAGAGAGAGAGAGAGAGAGAGAGAGAGAG